CTGTCTCAAAAAAAAAAAGGTTATCTGCCAGCTATCCTGTGGGTGAATATTATATTAAGACTAGCGACATCTGGTGGATATTTTGGAAGTGACACTTGAGTTTCTCTGTAACAGCACTGAAAATACACCTCTATGCCTCTGGCCTGCCAGTTGATCAGGTGTCAGAGCTCCATATCAGTAATTACATTACCATCAAATCATCTTTCTGCAAGATTGAAGGTCTCATTGAAACAGGTAGGCAGATATCTACGAAGGCCTAACTCCCAACTGATGTCCACCTGCCTTCTGAAAGATGTATGCAAAATCTGACCCCACAATTCTTTTACAAGGTAATTTATTATTTTAAATGTTCACATTCTTTGATGTGGTTATTTATTTATTTATTTATTTTTACGACGGAGTCTTGCTCTATAGCCTGGGCTGGAGTGCAGTGGCGCGATCTTGCTCACTGCAACCTCTGCCTCCCAGGTTCAAGCGATTCTCCTGCCTCAGCCTCCTAAGTAGCTGGGACTACAGGAGTATGCCACCACGCCCAGCTAATTTTTTTGTACTTTTAGTAGTGACTGGGTTTCACCGTGCTAGCCAGGGTGGTCTCAATCTCCTAACCTCGTGATCTGCCTGCCTCAGCTTCCCAAATTGATGAGATTACAGGTGTGAGCCACCATGCCCAGCCATCTTTTATCTTTTTATTTTTCATTTATTTATATTTTGAAATGGAGTCTCACTCTGTTGCCTGGGCTGGAGTGCAGTGTCATGATCTCAGCTCATTGCAACCTCCGCCTCCCGGGTTCAAGTGATTCTCCTGCCTCAGCCTCCTAAGCAGCTGGGATCACAGGTACCTGCCACCACGCCCGGCTAATTTTTGTATTTTTCGTAGAGATGGGGTTTCACCATGTTGGCCAGGTTGGTCTCAAACTCCTGACCTCAGGTGATCCAACTGCCTTGCCTCCCAAAGTGCTGGGATTACAGGTGTGAGCCACCATGCCTGGCCTGACATAGTCTTTAAAAAAATTATTTTTGGAGACAGTGTCTCACTCTACTGCCCAGGCTAGAGTGCACAGGCACAATCACAGCTCACTGCAGCCTCGACCTCCCAGTCTCAAGCAATCTTCCCACCTCATTCAGCCTCCCGAGTAGTTGGGACTACAGGTGCATGCCACCAGATCCAGCTAATTTTTAAATTTTTTGTAGAAAGGGTTGGTGGGGGGGGGGGGTCCTCAGCCAGATGCGGTCCCTCATGCCTGTAATCCCAGCACTTTGGTAGGCCAAGGCAAGTGGATTATTTGAGGTCAGGAGTTTGAGACCAGCCTGATCAACATGGTAAAACCCTGTCTCTACTAAAAATACAAAAATTAGCCAGGCGTGGTGGCAGGTGCCTGTAACCCCAGCTACTCGGGAAGCTGACACAGGAGAATCAAGGAGAATCACTTAAATCCAGGAGGCAGAGGCTGCAGTGAGCCGAGATCATGCCACTGAACTCCAGCCTGGGCAACAAGAACAAAACTCCATCTCAAAATAAAAAAAGAAAGAAAGTCAGCCAGGTGCGGTGGCTCATACCTCTAATCCCAGCACTTTGGGAGGCCTAGGCGGGCAGATCATTTGAGGTCAGGGGTTCAAGACCAGCCTGGCCAACATGGTGAAACCCCGTCTTAAAAAAAAAAAAAAAAAAAGAAAGAAAGAAAGTCAAGGGGGAGCCTCACTATGTTGCTCAGGCTGGTCTTGAACTTTTGGCCTCAAGCGATCCTCTGGCTTCAGCTTTCCAAAGTGCTGGGATTGCAGGCATTAGCCACCACCTCACCTGCCCTGACTTAGTCCTAAATAAGGAAATTAATTCTTTACAATGTCGGGGACAGGGATGAGGGAAACTAAAAGTCCAACAACAGAAACTAGTTAAGAAAATCACAGCCATTTTGTTTACCAAACACATGCCAACATTAAAACAAACATCTTAAAAATTTTAACATGACATTTTAACATAAAATCATTTTAATAATTTTTGTTAACACTAAATGAAACAAAGCAAGTTAAAAAGTTTGCACAGCATGCACACCATAATATCTCATGTTAAAAATATACTAACATGGTGAAACCCTGTCTCTACTAAAAATACAAAAAATTAGCAGGGCATGGTGGCATGTGCCTGTAGTCCCAGCTACTTGGGAGGCTGAGGCAGGAGAATCCCTTGAACCCAGGAGGCGGAGGTTGCATTGAGCCGAGATCACACAACTGCACTCCAGCCTAGGTGACAGTAAGACTCCCTCTCAAGAAAAAAAAATATATATATATGTGTGTGTGTGTGTGTGTGTGTGTGTGTGTGTGTGTATGTGTGTGTAGAAGAAAAGACTGCAAGTATATTTTCCAGAATATTAACAGTGTACTTCTGGGTGGGAGAATTATGGTTTGCATTTTTAAAAATCATAGTTTGCAATATTTTTCCAATGCTCTATAATTAACATACATTATTACTTGTTATAGTTTGTTATAACTTTAAATCTTTTAAAAATGGATATATTCTGATTAATTGCTAGAATTTTTCAACCTCTGCCTCATTTTATTAATTCCAGAAAAAGACGAATCAAGGTCAAAGAGAACTATTAATAGAATTTCCACAAGAAGGAAAAGCAAAATAAATAAGACAAATACATAAAATTCTGTTCTAGGATCTGAGTCCTGATGGAGAAATCTCCAGAGGTAAAACCGTATTGAAATTCCAGAAACATCATCACCCTTTTCACAACAGTACACCAAAAACTTACAGAAGGCTCTGTTGGCAGCAAGGAGTTACAGAATCTCATAACCACTTGGGTCCCCATCTTCAAGTGTCCCTAGAAGAGCTGAACCAGGGCCAACCTTAAAACAGAAAGAATAAGAAATGTACAAAATAACAGGCCAGGCAAAAAGTTTTTTTTAAAGCTAAACCAACCTAGTTGGGGCCAGGCCCCTTTCCAAAACCTACCAACTTAAGTTATCTTGAAGTACCAGAAATAGGACCCTGGTTAGCAGGAAGTCCAGCTGAAGATATTACAAACAAGCACAACAAGGCTATCCCAGTGGCATTTTAAATTTTGTTTTTATTTTTTTAGAGATAAGGTCTCGCTCCCGCACTTAGGATGGAGTGCACTGGCGCAGTCATAACTTACTGCAGCCTTTAACTCCTGGGCTCAAGTGATCCTCCACCTCAGCCTCCTAAGTAACTAGGACGACAGGTGTGCACCACCACACCCAGCTAACCCAGTGGCATTTTAAAACCTAGTTGGTTAGGTATTAATAGTAATAAAAAGAAGAGTAATACTCTTCTATCATTAGTCAAGCAACAATGCATTTTCCCTTCTTCCTATATTTATCAGTCAAGGACCACAGGAAGTATTCTGAAGATAATCAGCAGAAATACTGGAAGCTCTGCCAATGGCATCTACTTCCCTCTATCCTCAGAAACTCAGTTTTAACTCAGAGAGACAGCATGTATAATTCATTCTTTCTTTCTTTTTTCTTTTTCTTTTTTCTTTTTTTTTTTTTTTTTTTTTGAGACAGAGTCTTGCTCTGTCGCCCAGGCTGGAGTGCGCGGTGGCACGATCTCGGCTCACCGCAACCTCCGCCTCCTGGGTTCAGGCAATTCTCCTGCCTCAGCCTCCTGAGTAGCTGAGATTACAGGCACGTGCCACCATGCCCAGCTAATTTTTTGTATTTTTAGTAGAGACGGGGTTTCACCATGTTGACCAGGATGGTCTCGATCTCTTGACCTCGTGATCCACCCGCCTCGGCCTCCCAAAGTGCTGGGATTACAGGCTTGAGCCACCGCGCCCGGCCCAATTTTTGGCATTTTTTAGTAGAGATGGGGTTTCACCATGTTGGTCAAGCTGGTTTCGAACCACCTCGGTCTCCCAAAGCGTTGGGATTACAGGCGTGAGCCATTGCGCCCGGCCACCTTCATTTAAATATATAGCAAATAGGCTAGAGAGCTGCTCTACCTATTAGTGGTGGGGGCAGTCCTCCAACCCACCTTTTCTGAATCGCCTGCATGGAGTCTTTGCCAGACAACGATCGGGGAAAAAGTGATAATGGTAATGATAATGGCAGCCAACATTTGACTACAAACTACGTACTTGCTGCGAGTGCTTTAAATTATTACACTTTTTGGGGTTGATACTATTATTGCCAACTTTTGTGTGTGCTACAATTTCATTTTCAATAAGCTACCCGTCTTTAATCATCTCTCTTAGTGACCAGCCGAGAGGAAGCGGTATTTGGGGAGAACGGAGAATAGACTGAGAAAGGGGAGTGCGTTACCCCTCCTCTCCAAGCTCTGAAAGTCTGAAGCAGGAACTGCAGGCTAAGAATGCACAAGGCTGAGAGCGGGTTTGGTCTTTGAAATTTTAGCCTCCTACTACCCACTTCATCCTTGCCACCTCTACGTGTCCCCAGTTTCAATCTGGTTGCTCAACTGGGTTAATATTTTTCAGTTACCCGCCACCTTTCAGCACCTACCTCTTAAAAGATGGATCCATCTGGTTCAGCATCTCTGTCCGCAGCCCTTCGGGGCTCAGCCTGCCGCTGCTCTGGCTTTGCCGCCGCATTCCCGCTGCCATGGTGATGCGAAGGCCGGCCCCAGGCCCCTCCCGCCTCCAGCCTGCTGTAGCCAACACCTGCCGTCCTTGGCCCCGCCTCCGGCCCTCCGGATCCCTCCTCCTGCATGTCCTGACCGCACCCCTTGCGGCCCAGATCCCGCCCCTGCCGTTTCGGATCCGCCTCCCAGGAGCCAGACAACAACCAATGCCGGCATGGACCCCGCCCAGGGAACGGCTTCCTCTGCCAATGGGAGCCCGGCCCCTATTCTCCTAAACCCCTCCCCTTCCAGCTCCGCCTCCGGCCGCGGCCTGGGGGTGGGGCCGGAAGGGCTCTCTACCGGCTGGACCTTCGAACCGCCCTTCAAACTGGACGGGATCGGCTGTCCTAGCAAGGAGACTCGGAGCTCCGCCCCAGAAAACGCGTCAGGCTTGTTCCTCAGACCATTTATTGATCCAAGCGGCCCCGCACCCGCGAGATCCCACAGTCCCGCCGAGGGAAGTTTCCGGCCCTCGCTGTGCTGTCGGTCTCAGTGACTTGAAGTCCTGTAGGCCATGGTTGGAGAACTCTTCCTCCACGCCTCAGCCCCTTTCCCCCATTTGTCTGTTAAGGTTTGGAACCGGATCCAGCCGCTGAAGAAATGGCCCAAACCAGCCCTGGTGTCTGAGTGTGAAAGCTCAGAATGCTTTTCCAGAGCACCTCCCCTTCAGCTTTGGAGTTTAAGGTGTGTGAAAAAAATGATACTATTTAATTCAAGTCCGACAAGATAAGCCCACGTGCTTATAGGGTAATCTGCTCTTTCTGCGCTTTTCAAGAGCAGGAGCAACAAAGATGAAGTCGAAGACCTACCTCCCTGCACACGCCACCTAACCTCAATGTGGAATTCTATCCACCCACAGCTAAACCAACTATAACTCCAACCGCACAATGGCAAGTAAGAAGCCAGAGGAGAAACTGGGGACTCCCACAATGCAGGGGCTTTGGAGTTCTTTTTTTTTTGAGACAGGGTTTCACCATGTTGGCCAGGATGGTTTCGATCTCTCGACCTTGTGATCCGCCCGCCTTGGCCTCCCAAAGTGCTGGGATTACAGGCGTGCACCACCGCGCCCGGCCTGGAGTTCTTTAAGCTTAAAACATGGCCAACATCCCAGGGTTGCCACCCAATTCTCCAAAGCAGTAGATTCCCCCCCCAGAGGAGTAGTGGTTAACATGGCTGGGTCTGCCTCCCCAAGGCTCACACCAGGGTCCCGTTCTTGCTGTCATAGCGAGGTGTGGCCTGGGGGAAGCGAAGGATCGCATACTCTGTAGCGTGTTCTAAATGCATATGTTTCACTTCCTGGCCAGAGCGTGGCTGGGGACGGCTGCACACTTGAATGTCAGCATAATGTAAGTTGCTGTCTTCTGAAATGAGGCCTGGACTCCTCTGTTGAGACCCTTGCTGCTGTAACACCCGCTCATACGTATGTCCTGTTGTTTCATGGTCCTGCGAGGAAAGGATAGCATTAAGGGAGATTCATAGCTTGGTTTTGCCCCTCACCTCCAAGGCAGGGGCAGGTCGACTGATGCCTCTCCGCTTTGCTCCTTTGAGGGGCAGAGGAGGAGAGACAGAGCCAGCAGATTCTATAGGTGACTGAAATGTGTCTGTTGCAGGGCAAAAGATTTGAGTACTGAGATCCCATGTTCGAGCAGCCCTGGAGAGGGGACAGAGGCCTGTCATTACCTTTGGGCCATTCTGCGGCAGCTGTTGTGGCTGCGGCTTCAGTGTCCGTCTTGCTTGGCTTCCTGAGAGAAAGAAATTCAGCTTAAATCCATTCTCTCTTCCCTGTCTCTATTGAGATTGCTTCTTCAAATCACTATTAAACAATACGGCAGGCTTCTGTCTAATCTCTCTGCCTCCATTCTCACTTCCTTTTTTTTTACTTTTGAGACAGAGTCTTGCTCTTTCACCAGGTGCCAGGCTGGAGTTCAGTGGCCGATCTCAGCTCACTACAACTTCCGCCTCTCCCGGCTTCAAGCAATTCTCCTGCCTCAGCCTCCAGAGAAGCTGGGACTGGCCGGGTGCGGTGGCTCAAGCCTGTAATCCCAGCACTTTGGGAGGCCGAGGCGGGTGGATCACAAGGTCAAGAGATCGCGCCATTGCACTCCAGCCTGGGTAACAAGAGCGAAACTCTGTCTCAAAAAAAAAAAAACAAAAAACAGAGTAGCTGGGACTACAGGCATGCACTGCCACATCCAGCTAATTTTTGTATTTTCGTAGAGACGGGGTTTCACTATGTTGGCCAGGATGGCCTCAATCTCTTGACCTCATGATCCGCCCACCTCAGCCTCCCAAAGTGCTGGGATTGCAGGCTTGAGCCACTGTGCCCGGCCCATTCTTACTTCTTTTATGGCTACTAGTCCTAAATCCAAAGCAGGGTTTACAATCTGGCCCTTTCACAGTCTGGCCATAACATCTCCCATCCTCAATTTTAACAGCTCCTAAAACAGTTCAACATGAGAACCGATTATGTGCCAGGCTCTGTGTCATGCTCTCAGGTTGGAAGGATGAGTAGGCTGTTTCCTCTGCTTCAGGGGGCTTACAGCCTACTAGGGGAAACAAGGAAGTAAAAATAAGTAAACGGACTTACAATGCAAGGTGGTAAGTGCTGGAGTGCAGTGGGACGATCTCGGCTCACTGCAACCTCCATCTCCCAGGTTCAAGTGATTCTTGTGCCTGGGCCTCCCAAGTAGCTGGTACTACAGACCCATACAACCATGCCTGGCTAATTCTTGTATTTTTAGTAGAGTTTCACCATGTTGGCCAGGTTGGTCCCAAACTCCTGACCTCAAGTGATCCGTTCACCTTGGCCTCCCAAAGTGCTGGGATTACAGACATGAGCCACGATGCCTGACACTTTGCTATTATTTCTTTGACATTTTGACATCAATGTCTTCACCCATTCTCACACAGCATGAGTGTAGCTCATCTATTATTGCACCAGCAGATGATATTACAATTGTTTGTTTATATGAATCTATCTCTTAAATTTGATTTTCAGCTCTTCCAGGGCTGAGATCATGTGTCTTTCTTCTCGTGCCTCTCTGCCTCCTTGGGACTCCACACAGATCCTCACATACAATATAAGTGCTGAGTAAATATTTGCTGAAACCAACCCTGCCACTCTGAAATAATGGAAAGGATAAGATCCAGAGAACTGGTCTTGAACACAGTAACCAGGATTCTCTTTGATATTCTGTCTCCCTTTATTCTTTCACTCCTTTTCTACCCTCATACCCTTTCCAAAGATGGCAATTCTATTGTCTTCTCTAATATGCCTCCCCCAGACTCTCCCCCCAGCCCCAAAATTACCTCTTTTCTTTTTCTTCTGGAAAGTTGATGGGCAGCTCCTGTGACAGGAAAAACAGATCACCCATGTGCAAGAGCCCTGGCCTCTGCCTTCCCTCCATCATCATTTGCTCTGTGGTCTCTCTAACATTCTGATGAACTTCCCCTACCTCCCTCCAACAAAGATTCACGCTGAGCCAGGTTCAGTCCCAAAGCATTAGTCAAGGGTACCACACTTCTCCCAGATAGATGGTTCTGGAAGGTGGTGTAGTACAACTAACATAACCAGACCCAAAATACAGCCTCAGGCAACCAGGCACAACATGCCAGGATGTATCTGGCTTGAGGACTATTCTGGGATTGTCTACCAGGCTAATCCCAGCAGTGGGTGAGGGAAGCCTGCCAAATGATAGAATAGTCTTGAATCCAGAGACCCTCTTGCCTCTTCTTCAGTGCTTTTTTTTTTTAAACTGGTTTTGCCAATCTGGGACTTTCATTCTGGGACTCATGGAAGCTGCCACAACCAGGGCTAACTAGTTCCAGCTCCTCAAAGCCCTTTCTTAACAAATGACCTCCCTCCCTAGTTCCCTGTCATTGTTTTTAATTAACAGAGAAAGTGAGAGATGTTTAACCTTTAACATGTTTCAGAGAACTTTGTCTACAGAACAGGGAGCACTGAATTTGGTGAGTGACTCAGCTATCCTGCCTCACCATAGGGCAGACCTCTTATATTTATTTCTGAGCCCCTGGGGTCCCCAGTGGTGCCCATGTGTCTACGTGATTGGTAACTGTTTGATGTCCAGAAAGACAACACTGTCTGAAGAAATAGGCTAAATAGTTTGGGGCTTACTCTGGATTCTTTTTCTTGCTTTCTGGCTAGTACATTTCCAACTCTTGCCAGAGCCAACCCTGTTTGTCTGATCTTTCATCTCCTGGGAAGTTTCCTCCTTTGCTAATTGGAGAGAGAGATAAGACTGACTTCTAAATCATGAGGACTATTGTGGAAAAAAAAAGTCAGGATTTTTCCACACACATTTGACAGAGGTTTCTGTTTTGATGTGATTTTTGGTTTTGCTACAGCTTGCTCAGTTAGGTGACAGCAGTTGAGTCTTCAGCCAAAGTCTACAGGTGGTTCAGAAGAAAAACTACTTCTGTGTTTTTCTACTTCCCCTTCTGCCACTTCAGCTCTTGCTTTATGTTACTGCTGCTCAGTTAGCCTTATCCTAAGAACAAGAGAATCTTCTAATTCTTTGCCACTTGTTACTACTCTTTACCTACTTATTTTTATTTAAATGGATAGAGAAAATACTTATCCTAAAATACATAGACTAGGCCTATCCAGTGTTAGTGAACAGAACCTGTTCTCAGGTTAGATATTGTGCAATGCCTGGACACAACCCAAATGGAGTGAAGTAAATATTCATTTAGATTCACAGGCGATGGGATTTTATTTTTAGATTTAAGGAAACTAAGTGGGCATTCTCTTACAGTGGTAATAGGAATAAAAAGTTGTGCAATCCTTCTAGAATGCAATTGGCAATAAGTGTAAAAAGCCTTAAACATAAATGTGTATACCCTCTGATGTAGCAATTCCATATCCTAAGAAATAATTATACATGTACAAATATGGATATTCATTATAACATTATTTAAATTGCAAAAAATAGGAAATATTCTGAAGGTCCAACATTTGGTATCTGACTAAATAAATGGCATATCCAATTAATGGAAAATATGTAGCCACTTCATAAAGAATGTTGGAAGAACACTTAACATCATGGGAAATTTTACTCTTTATTAGGTTAGTAAACAGATATGCTTTGGAATAAAAGCTGTGCACATTTAAAAAACATATGGAAATACACTAAAATGTTCCCATCATCTCTGGGTGCTTATATTTATGATTGCTTTTTATTTTCTGCTCTTTGAAGAAGTTAAATTTTCTGCAATGAATGATTATTAGGCTTGTAATCAGAAACAATAACAACAAAGAATATTTTAAAATAAAAATATCTTCAATATTCATAATATCTTTAAGCCTCAGGAGGTTTATTGAGATAACAAAAAATAGAGAACAAATTTTTATCCAATCCTATTAGTATTTGAAGAGGAAAAGAAAAAGATTTTGGTTAGACTGTTTGGTATAGTGTCTCTAGAATGGGCTGTGGAGTCAGACTCATGAGGTCAGACTAGCTGTGAGACCTTCAGCAAATTTTTAACCTCTCTGGGCTTCTGTTTTCTTATTAATAAGATGAGTATGATAGGCCGGGTGCAGTGGCTCAATCCTGTAATCCCAACACTTTAGGAGGCTGAGGCAGGCGGATCATTTGAAGTCAGGAATTCGAGACCAGCCTGGCCAACATGGTGAAACCCCATCTCTACTAAAAATACAAAAATTAGCTGGGCATGGTGGTGCCCACCTGTAATCCCAGCTACTCAGGAGGCTGAGGCACAAGAATCACTTGAACCTGGGAGGTGGAGATTGCAGTGAGCCAAGATTGCACCACTGCACTCTAGACTGGGCAATAGAGTGAGACTCCATCTCAAGAAAACAAAAATGAGTATGATAATGGAATTCAGACCTCATGGGATTATTGTGAGGATTAAATAAAACAGAAAATGTGAAATACTTAGCATGGCTCCTAACATATAATAAGCATCAGTAAAAGTTGACTACTAATGACTGTCACCACCAGAGAGCTAACCAGTAATGAAAACAGAATACCAACACTTGGAAAGAAAGAGAATAAAATAATCTGTTACATCTCCTTCTCTAGAAGCTTTTCCATGCTTCTGGATGTCCTGTGTCTATAGGGCACCTCAGAGTTTAAAGGTGCTTTATTTTTTCAGTCCTGACATTCCAGGAAACATATTTCTATTCCCATTTTACAGATGGGTCAACTAAGCCCTTTTTACTAACTTAATAAAGAGTAAAATTTTAAAGGTTGGGCGCAATGGCTCAAGCCTGTTATCCCAGCACTTTGGGAGGCTGAGGCTGAGGCGGGCGAATCACCTGAGGTCAGGAGTTCAAGATAAGCCTGGCCAACATGGATAAACCCCATCTCTACAAAAAATACAAAATTAGCTGGGTGTGGTGGCACATGCCTGTAATCCCAGCTACTCGGGAGGCTGGGAAGCTGAGGCAGGAGAATCGCTTGAACCCAAGAGGCAGAGGTTGCAGTGAGCTGAGATCGCACCATTGCACACCAGCCTGGGCAACAAGGGCGAAACTCCATCTCAAAAAAAAAAAAGAGTAAATTTTCCACGATGTTAGGTTTTCTTCCAACATTCTTTTTGAAGTGGCAACATATTTTCCATTAATTGGATATGTCATTTATTTAGTAAGTTAACAAATGTTGGAACTTCAGGGTATTTCTTACTCAACGAGTCCAAGGACCAAATGTCCTTTTATTACTATGTCTTCTGTGTCTATCACTGTGCCTATAGTACATATTCAATAAATATTGCTTAATAAATGAATGCATAAATGAATGAGTAAGTAGAGTAGGACCTGAATCCAATGTACTACTCCAAAATCTGTGTTTTCCAAAGCATGTCATTTGTCTATCTAAATATAATGATGCTTTATCTAAAACATGACATCCTCAAGACCTGCCCCAGGCATGGAAGGCAGTAGACAAGATAAAACCAAAACCAGGAATTTATGGCAGTGATGAAAATTTTGGGAAAGAACAGTAACAGTGCCATAGATAATTTATTATGAGATTTTCACATACACTATATCCTTTGCTCTTCAAAATAAGCCTGTGATCTACACAATGTAGGATGTATTATCTATATTTTACATGTGAGGATACAGAGAAATTAAGGGACTTACTACCTATAGTCACATAGCAAATAAGTGTGAAAGTCATATTCAGATATTCCATGGATATTCTTCTTTTTCCTAATTCTTCCCTTTTATTTTTATTTTTGAGATGGTCTCATTCTGTCACCCAGACTAGAATGCAGTGGTGTGATCTTGGTTCACTACAACCTTGACTCAAGGGCTTAAGCCAAACTCCTGCCTCAGCCTCCCAAGTAATTGGGATTACAAGCACACACCACCATGCCTATCTAATTTTTAATTTTTTTTGTAGAGATGGGGCCACCCTATGTTGCCCAGGCTTGTCTCAAACTCCTTTTTTTTTTGAGACAGAGTCTTGCTCTGTCACCCAGGCTGGCCTCCACTCGCGCAATCTTGGCTCACTGCAACCTCTGTCTCCTAAGCTTAAGGGATTATCATGCCTCAGCTTCTCAAGTAACTGGGATTACAAGCATGCGCCACCATGCCTGGCTAATTTTTTTTTGTATTTTTAGGAGAGATGGTGTTTCGCCATGTTGGCCAGGCTGGTCTTAAACTCCTGGCCTCAAGTCATCTGCCTGCCTCAGCCTTCCAAAGTGCTGGGATTACAGGTGTGAGTCACTGCATCTGACCACTTACTTCTGCCATTTTTTTTTCTTTTGAGACAGAGTCTTGCTCTGTCCCCCATGCTGAAGTGCAGTGGCGCAATCTTGGCCCACTGCAACCTCTACCTCCCGGGTTCAAGCAATTCTCCTGCCTCAACCTCTCAAGTAGCTGGGACTACAGGCTCCTGCCACCGCACCTGGCTAATCTTTTTTTTTTTTTTTTTTGTATTTTTTTGTAGAGATGGGGTTTCACCATATTGGCCAGGCTGATCTCGAACTCCTGACCTTGTGATCTTCTCACCTCAGCCTCCCAAAGTGCTGGGATTACTGGCACGAGCTACCACGCCTGGCCACTTCTGCCCTTTTAAATAAACATTGGTTCAAAGTTGACTTGCTTGATCTGGGAGGCAATATTATGCAATGGTTCGAAAGGTGGGCTCTGAAGTCAGTTGGAATCTTGGTTTTCTTGCTTATAGCCATGTGACCTTAGGCAAGTTAGTTAACTTCTCTGAGCCTCAGTTTCTCAGCTGACTGTAAAAAGAGGAGGGGAAAACCATTTACCTCATAAAGTGTTGGAAAAATTAAATGAGACTGTAAAATCCCTGGCACATAGAAAGCTCTCAAATGCTACAATTATTACTCTCATCTGGGGAAGAAGGGAAAGGAGAGAAGGGGAAAGAAAAGAAGAGAACACAGAAAAACAATGCCAGTTCAATATTCCTGCCCTGCTCTGGCCATTCCTCAGACAGCTAGCTTGGCTCTGTTTTCTTTTTCTTTTTTTTTTTAATTTGAGATGGAGTCTCACTCCGTCACCAGGCTGGAGTGCAGTGGCATGATCTTGGCTCACTGCGATCTCCGCCTCCCGAGTTCAAGTGATTCTCCTGCCTCAGCCTCCTGAGTAGCTGGGACTACAGGCACGAGCCACCACACCCAGCTAATGTTTGTATTTTTAGTAGAGGCGGGGTTTCACCACATTAGCCAGAATGATCTCGATCTCCTGACCTCGTGATCCACCCGCCTCGGCCTCCCAAAGTGCTGGGATTACAAGTGTGAGCCACCGTGCCTGGCCTCTTGGCTCTGTTTTCTAAGATCTCCTGAAAGGAGGTGCTGCTCTGGTGTTGGAACCAGGAGTTTCCAGACAGAGGAAGGTGGCAGTGGGAGGCTGGCAGACAACTATCTCCAGGTGCTCTGATTTTCAGGACCTCCACATCCACCAACAGAGATAGATGTTTCCCTCTGCCCTTCCACCCTACTCACCAGCTTCCCCCGCAGCAGACCCGGTTTCCCATGGCACTCCGTCTCCAAGGGAGCCCAGCTGTTTTTATGCATCAAGAGGCTTGGGCATTTCCTGGTTCCTGGTTGAGCTTTCCGCCAGCAGCTCCCGGAGTGTGTGTCAGTGTCAGATTTCAACCTAACAGGTTAGACTTCAGAAGCCACCTGCTGGAATGATTCCCAGGTGACTGTGTTCCCAGCCAAAGGGTAGAACAACACACCGGCTCCAGGTGAGAGCTAACTTCAGGATTTGAAGCGTCTTTTGATGAAGCCATGAACTTGAGCTTCAAGATTCAATAAAAAGAAACCTGAGATAGAAAAGGGCTCTTGGTTTTCCTCAGGAAATGCTTCTCCGCTACATCACTCTGTCTTTGAAATATATCCTCTATAATAGATGAGTGTCTTATGTAGTAGTTTGCACAGTACCACTCAGGTTTAACTGAGTTTCACTTTAGAGGTAATTGGTACCAGTTTTTTATCATCTTTGTCCAGAATCTGGGTTGGGATACTGGAGTCTCTTGGAAACTGAAGTTTAGGGAAATGGGTTCCTCATATATTCTCCCTTGCTATTTGAAATTGATGTGGGCAAATCACTTAACCTTTATTGGGCCTAAGTTTCTAGGGCTGTAAAATGAAAGAACTGAATCTAATCCCCTTTTCTGGTATAAAATCAGATGACTCTGTGATCTGAATGGCCTCAGCACTTCTTAACCACTCACTCCCCTATCCACAGTTCAGAACTACTGATTCTCCACTTACCCTTCAACTCTGTTTCTCCTTCCAGTTACCCAAAGTTAAACACACCCCACACTCACCAGTAGAAAATATGGGCTCTAGGAGAATCTGTGAAACCTATCATTCTTGTCTTCAGTTGTCTCACCCCATTTTTAGTGTTTTCCTCGGATGTCTGGTTATTTGTGTGTTCTTTAAGTGGATGTTTAGGTCCCACCACTCAGCTCTGCACTCCGCAGAGAGTACCCTGGACTTTGAACTCCTCTTATGAAACATGGGGATTAGAGTGACAATCTTACAGGATTGTGTTGTAAAATAAAGCTCTACTGCAGGGCCTGGCATATGGAACATTCTCAGTAAGAGTTAAGTATTGTTGTTATTATTACAAAGCATCTTTTTTCCTTCTTTCCTTTTTTTTTTTTTAATTGAGACGGGGTTTCACCATGTTGGTCAGACTGGTCTCAAACTCCTGACCTCAGGTAATCCACCCGCCTCGTCCTCCCAAAGTACTGGGATTACAGGTGTGAGCCACTATGCCCGGCCATTTTTTTTTTTTTTTTTTTTTTTTAGACAGGGTCTCAATCTGTCACCCAGGCTGGAGTTCAGTGGCTAGCTCACTGTAGCCTCAAACTCCTAGGCTCAAGAGAGTCTCCCGCTTCAGCCTCCTGAGTAGCTGGGGCTACAGGTTCACAACACTGTGCCTAACTAATTTAAAAAAGTCTTTTTAGAGATAGGGTGTTTTTATTTCCTTTTCATTAATGTGAGATGGGGTCTCGCTATGTGGACCAGGCTGGTCTCGAATTCCTGGCCGCAAGCAATCCTCCCATCTCAGTCTCCCGAAGTGCTGAGATTACAGGTGTGAGCCACCATGACTGGCCAAGATAGGGTCTTGCTATGTTGCGCTTGTTGGTCTTGAACTTCTGGCCTCAAGTGACCCTTCCACTGCGCCTGGTTCCTATATTTTACTTTCTTTTCTTGTGCCCTAATCATTGCACTGTCTTGTAGCCATGCTTCTTCTATGCAATCCATTCTGTACTCTACCATTAACTGTATCATTTTCATCCACTCCTCCTCCCAGTTTAAAAGCCATTAATGATTTCTTATCACCTATAGGATAGAGTTCAAACTGCTTAGCCTGGCACTCAAAGCCCTCCACAATCTCGTTCCTTTTTAGCCACCTCTTCTGTAATGTTTTTAAAAGCACATAAGCATCTGGGTTTATGCAGTGGCTTGGCTCATGCCTGTAATTCCAGTGCTTTGGGACACTGAGGCAGGAGGATCACTTGAGCCCAGGAGTTCAAGATCAGCCTGGGCAATATAACAACACCCCACCGTCTCTACAAAATATAAAAACTAAAAAATTAGCCAGGTATGGTGATGCATGCCTGTAGTCCCAGCTACTCAGAAGGCTAAGGTGGGAGGATTATTTGAGCAAGAGAGGTTGAGGCTGCAGTGAGCTGTGATCAAGCCATTGCACCCCAGCCTGGGCAACAGAGTGAGACTCTGTCTCTAAAAAAAGGAAATCACCTAAGAGACTTTTAGATGACCAGAAACTCCAAAGGAATCAATAGAGCAATAGAACATTGTGGTAGCCAGAAAACCTGATATGCCTAAAGCAGCATTAATAGAAGACCAAAGTGATAAACAAGAATATTGATTATTCCATTGAAGTCTATTCTAGTCAGCTCATGACTGGAATAATAATTTTAGGTCTAGATGTTAAATTTCAAGTTATGTTGTCAAAAGACACTATGTTAAAAATAAAGTTATCTGGGTAATATGTGATGTGGAAAGTGCTATATGATATGGTTGAAAGAACAAGACATGGCTGAGTGTGGTGGCTCACCTGTAACCCCAACATGTTGGGAGGCTGAGGGGGGCAGATTGCTTGAGGCCAGAAGTTCAAGACTAGCCTGGGCAACGTGGTGAAACCCAGTCTCTACAAAAAATTAGCCAGGTGTGGTGGCATGTGCCTGTAGTGTCAGCTACTCAAGAGGTGGAGGTGAGGGGATTGCTTGAGCCCGGGAGGAGGAGGTTGCAGTGAGGGGAGATGACACCACTGCACACTCAGCCTGGGTGTATGTGCAAACAAAAAACAAACAAAACAACAAAACAAAAGCAAAAAACAAAACTAGGCACGGTTAGCTGGGAAAGGGAAGCCTCATGAAGACATGATGGTTTATCTTTAAATATCAGAAGGTCTTTCAAGTGAAAAAAACAATTGCATCTGTTTTCCAGAGAAGTTAGTGAAATGCAGATTTTGATTCAACAAAAGGAAGAATTTATAACGGTTAAGTCAGTTAAGTCCAAAAGATTCAACAAAAGGAAGAAGAATTTATAACGGTTAAGTCAGTTAAGTCCAAAAAAAAAAGAAGGGCCAGTTGCAGTGGCTCACACCTATAATCCCAGCACTGTGGCAGGCCAAGGCTTGAGGATTGATTGAGTCCAGGAGTTCAAGACAACCTGGACAACAAAGTGAGAACTTGTCTCTACAAAAAGCAAAATATTAGCTGGGTATAGTGACACACACCTGTAGTCCCAGCTACTCAGGAGGCTGAGGTGGGAGGATTGCTTGAGCAAGGGAGGTTGAGGCTGTAGTGAGCCATGATCATGCCACTGCACTTCGGCCTGAGCAACAGAACAAGACCCTGTCTAAAAAAGAAAAGAAAGAATGTGAAACAGACTACTATAGGAAGTTCTAAGTAGTCTGTCATTCAGAATGTCCCAGAAGAAATTGATTAATAACTTTAAACGAATTTGAATGGAGTGGGTATTTGGACTAAATCAGAAGTTTTCAATTTTTTTCTAGCTAAGAAATCCTTTCCCTTAAATAAAGCTCAATTGCAAAACATATCAATGTGAAGTTATTCAGGTTGAAGTCTAAGTAGAATATTTTCTTATTCTTTTTCTTCTCAACTAGATTCCAGAAAGTTGACAATAAAAGCTAATAGTTTCTATAATTTATATTTACAATGTATATCCCCCATGGTGTATTATGTGAGGTTTGATAAATATTTATTGAATGAATGAACAATTAAATATGTCAAAAGTTATTTCTCTGGGGCATGCTTTCATTTTTAATAGACAGCAATCTTTTTTTTTTTTTTTTTTTTTGGGACGGAGTTTCGCTCTTGTTACCCAGGCTGGAGTGCAATGGCGCGATCCCGGCTCACCGCAACCTCCACCTCCTGGGTTCAGGCAATTCTCCTGCCTCAGCCTCCTGAGTAGCTGGGATTACAGGCACGCGCCACCATGCCCAGCTAATTTTTTGTATTTTTAGTAGAGACGGGGTTTCACCGTGTTGACCAGGATGGCCTCTATCTCTTGACCTCGTGATCCACCCGCCTTGGCCTCCCAAAGTGCTGGGATTACAGGCTTGAGCCACCACGCCCGGCTGACAGCAATCTTTTAACCAAAAATCAAATTCCTCAAATGAGGTCTGTTATCCTGGAGTTCCAGATTCCTAAAAGGGGTATATGAATGGGTCTCAAGAGTTGTGGGAACCTATTCAAATTGTATTGCCAAATTTGGGAGCATGTGTATCTTCATGGTAAGAGCAGCTATAGCTTTTGTCAGATTTTCAGATGTGTCTATAACCCCCAAAAGTTAAGAAACAACTACTTTATTTTAATTGAATTGAATTGAATTTTTTAATGCAGGATCTCACTCTGTCACCCAGGCTGGAGTGCAGTAACATGAGCTCAGCTCACTGCAGCTTCAACCTTCCTGGCTCATCCTCCCACCTCAGCCTCCAGAGTAGCTGGGACTACAGGCATGCACCACCAGACCTGGATAATTATCATTTTTTGTAGAGACAAGGTTTCACTCTGTTGCCCAGGCTGGTCTCAAACTCTTGAGCTCAAGTGATCCTCCCGCCTTGACCTCCCAAAGTACTGGGATTACAGGTGTGAGCCACTGCACGCAGCCAAAGAACAATTACTTTTATGGAAGAATTATAGGTATCTATCACAGCCTGATAATATATGATTTGGAGGCAGGAAGTTCTTTTGAAAACCCCCCAAATTATGTACCTGCATGTTCTCTTGATTGCAGAGAATAACTGAGGGGACAGACCCTCAGGCTTTCCTGAATACATCATACCCCCCAGGGGATGCGAAGGTAATGGAGTTCCATGATAATGGAAGAGGCTTCTGTGTCTGTGCCCCAGTGTATGCGTACTCAGGCTCTCAAAATCAGTGACCATTTCGGTGGACAGACCTTAGTAAATGAAAACAAAGTATTTACTCCAGGGCTTTAGGCAACTCTCACCAGCCGAAAACCATTTTCCCAGCCCCTACCCAAAAAGGCCCAGACAGTCTGGAGACCCTTGTTTTTGTGTCACTAATCACCAGCTCAGACAGTGCCCTCTGGACTGTTTGGAGGGCATATCCCTTTTCCCTCCCAGGATCACTCTTTCTTTTGTTGCATTGTGAGAAAATTATGGCTAGGAATTTGATCTGGAGCCAGAGTCAGCTTCCGGGTGTGATCTCAGCATTCAAGTGCCAGCTCAGGGTGCAATGACGTTGGGTACATCAAACTGAGGAGCTTTTTGTCTAGCTGGCTGTGACCTCCTCCCTCCCTCCCCATCCCAGCTTCCCAGCCACAGAATAGGGAGCAGCACAAACAAGGCCCTGAGATTTGGGTTTATTCACCTCCACCCAAAACTAAACCAAGGCTATGACATGTCCCATGGGACCAAACCATACATTGGGGACCATGCACCTTTCCCTTCCCCCAAGGATGCTGCTACCTCTGGAGTGGTGGGCAGCTGCCCATATCAACGTGGGAGGTAGAGAGGGATTTGCTGGTGCTGGGTCTGTGGCAATCAGGGCTTAACTCTGGCTGCCTCCTCCTCTTCCTCTGGATCAGGAGGCGCAGGGAGCAGGGAGATGTAGACCTCATTGACCTCTGTGTCCAAATGTCGGCCACCCCGAGGCGCTTCCAGGTTTAAGATGCCATCATGGGAGAGAGCAGCTCTGACCCGCCAGGGGTCTACATCAGCAGGCAGGACATAGGTGCGGCAGAACTCTCGGGACACGAAGCCGTGGCGGTCCAGGCGCTGGGGGTGCCGGGCAGACACCTCCAGCAGGTTATCTACAGTCCTCACAGTTACCTCGTCTGGGGTAAAGTGGCTCACATCCAGAAATGCCTGGAACTTGCCCTCACTGAGCCTAAGCTCGGAGGCCCCTGCCCTGCTGCCCTCCCCAGCTGGGGCAGCGCGAGGCCGGACATAGTAGCCATGGTAGAGTGTGGGGGTCAGGATCTCTTCCGGCAGGAGGCCTAGGGGGCAGAGAGAAGGCAAGAGGCAGGATGAGGGAGGATGAGGTGGGCACAGGGGCGAAATGGGAAATCTGGAGAGGAGGGATTGGGAAGAGCAGGAGGGGAGTCAGGAGGAGTAGGGAAGGGA